AAACCACAATGTTTTCTCTAATAAAGGAATTAAAATTAAATATTTAAAATAATTATTTCTCACTCTTGATATTTTATATTCGCCTCCAACAATAAATAAAACTATCAAATTTTTCGTTAATTTATTAATATATCCACATATTTTTATGAGTGCTATAAACACTTGTGATACACATAGAATTCAATAATGCGTTTATAAATATTTTTTTTTTGTTATACACATATTATACAAGATACAAGTGTGTCATATAACATTTTTATTAAATTTATATTAAAAATTAATAAAATATTTATAAAGTGGTTTATTTTAAACAAAGTTAAAAGTTTATATTTTATAAAGAGACCGAATAATATTGCTAAAAAAAAAATCTTTATCATCAACTTTTACCAAAATGATATTTTTTATTAAACCAACATACTTTTGTGTCCTCCCATACTATGTGATTTAATGAATTTTCGATGAGAATTTTTTTTTAATTTTAACTGTTTTTTTGTTTTTATTCTGTAAATATTGTAAATAACATACGCGGATAATAAAAGAAAATTCTCGTAATTAAAAGAAATTTTAAATTAAAAGCAAATTTTTTTTATAAATTAAATTTTAATTAAAATTATTATTTTATAATTTAAAAGATTTTTTTTTTGTTATAAATTGAAATTTTTACAAATTTTAATATATTGGTTTTTTACAGAGTAAGCTGGAATTTAAGTATGCACAGGTTTATGTTTGTGTATACTTATATACGCTCAATACTCACTCAAATCTCATTTAAAGTTAAAAACTAAAAAATCGAGACACACTGATAATGAAAAGATTATTTACCAAAGTGTATTTTAAGGAAAATAGGTAAAATTAAATTACACAGGCCTCATAAATTTGTCGTGATCTATCAAATATTTCTTTGGAATTAACTATACTAACATTGTTCTCTTCTCACGATTAGTACTAGTTGTCTATAGTAAGTCTCTTTATTATTCATTTGAATTTTGCATTTGAGCTCCTCAACAAACAATTTAACATGTACGTCATAAATTCTCTCATACTCGTATTAAATATTTTTTTTTGTAATTTGCACTTCCCTATAATAAAGCAAATTTATTTTTTTGCTCAAATACTCGTATTTTGATTATTGCATAGAAAATATTAGAAAATATTTTCAGTTTTTTTTTTTATTTCTATTTAAACATAAATCCCTTTTTCAATAAAAATCATTTAATTATTATTATTTGATATATTTTTTTTTTAAGCTCGCAAAAATTAAAATGAAAATTTCTCAATACAAATTTTTTAATTTTTTATTTTAAATTTCCTAATTATTATTTAAATATTATTATCTCGTTTATAAAGGAAAAACATAATTATTATTATTTTATAATTACAATAATTATCTGTGTACACTTAAAAAAAAAATGATATTTTTTTATAATATTAGCATTCCTGTTCAGATTTATTATTATTTTTTGTATAACACTTAACATGTATACAAGTATATTAAATTTTTATATTGATTTAATAATGATTTTCATTCTAAAATAATTTATAGAGCCGATATATAATTTTTGAAATATTAAAATTCTAATGTGGTTTGCTTATAGCTTAAAAAAAGTTAACACCCAAATACAAAGTTGATATTTTAGTGATTATTTTAATTAGTAAGTGTGATCAAATAAAATTAATAATAATTGAAATTTGTCCTTTTTTTTTTTGGAAGCTTACAATGGTTATTTTTAAATGATATACTCGGAATGTAATAACATGGTATTTATTCTTAATATTTTACAATTTTAGATTACAGTATTGAATAAAAGGATTTTTTGAAATAGTATTTATAACCGCACGAATGAATATTTAAAGAGTATCATAAATTTATCACTACTTTTATGACGGTATAAGAAAAAAACAAAAATTTGAATGTACTGATAAATATCAGTATCAGAATTTCAATGTACTGATAAATTTTATTGTATATTTAGATTGGTTGTCAACGTTACATTGATTCATTAACTGCTTGTAGATAATATGATTTCTCTGGCTTTGTTTAGTTATTCCACATCATTTTATTAATTTCGTTTTCTGATCTTATTAACATACTATTTACTAGCTTAGCAGTGTGTTACTATTAATCCATTAAATTGGCTTTGCCAACAATACAAAACTTTACTTTCTTTCTTTTCCCTTTGTATCCTGATAATAACGCTGATGAATTAAGTTATAAAAGTAACTGATAGTAACTGATACTCTATATACTAAATGTTTATACTAAAGGAATCCTTTGATAAAATCGTTTGAATAATCTTGAAATTCCAATTATGCATAGGCTTTCTATTTTTGAATGCAAAAATGACTAAACCTAAAATTATTAAAACACATTGAAATTTTTATTTAAAACAATATTTATCAAAAAATTTTAATAAAATTAAATTTGATATTATATATACTTACATTTATTCTCTTCCATTGTTATGATTAAAGTTTGTTAAATATCCTTTCATCCAGTAACCAAAAATTCAATTAATAGTATAATGCTAGTATTAGGTGAGGAGCGGATCAAAATTACAATTCCCTATTTGCTTATGCTTTTCACATTTTTTGTTTACAATTTTTTTATTTATTTATTCATTTATAATGCAAAAACGCATCACTTTTAAATTCAAGCGCTATAATATACAAAAGTGGTTTTCACAGTTTAATGGTTAATTAAATTCAACTCGTTGTATGTATATCTATAGAAATTCCAGTTCATTTCAGAAAAAAACGCTTTTTTACTTTGCTAGAAAATGCTTTGAAAAACCTGAAATATATATAAAAATTTTTTTTTTTAGATTTTGTATTTATAAGAGCCTCCAATATAGTGCGGTCTTGTAATAGTGAAAAAATCAAAATGAATTTTTTAAATACTAATTGGAATAGCTATGTAATGGCTTTCAAAATAGAACTGAGGATAATTTTTAGATTATGTAAAGGTTTTAATTGTTAATGTGTATACTTTCGGATATGCTAGTTGTGTCTGACAGCATATTGAATCAACAAGTTTATTATAGAAAATTAGGGGCCAGCAGTTGAATTTTTAGTAGGAATTTTGATTTAGATTTATGGCAATACTTACAAAACTATAATTAAATGTAAAATTTTATTTTTATTTATCAATAAAACTAGAAAATCGGATAAAAAATTGGACTCTAAAATATTAAACCTCTAAACGAATTTATTAAGAACCAATTATATTATTCTAATTTTGAAATTTTTTTGCTAATTTTCGGAAAGAAGTGTATAAAATACAATTTTCATTTTGAAATTTTGGAAAGAGCTTTATATTGTGATGATAGTATAGCATAAACATAGGCGGAGGTTGGTTATTTGCTGATCACATCCAATCTCTCTGTAACATATCGTTATGGCACTGATTGATATACCCTTCTGAGTACATTTAATTAATACAATAATAAATAACCTTATTTTATAAATTTCAGTATGATTTAAATGGTTTCATGGAAAGGTTCTTCACTATAACAATATTTTAAAACACTAATATTAAAGTATGATGCTAGTTTTTTTGAACTGCAGATCTACGTATAAATATAGCACTTGACATAAATATATCTGGAATTTTAATTGTGCTTCACGATTCGTGTCCTTTTTTTTTTGTATAATGATATTATGCTTTAATGTGTACAAAAAAAAAAATTAATTATTAAATTTCTTTTAACTTTAATTTATAAAAATTTATTAAATTGTTTTTTTATGATATACTTAATAGGTATTTAATATAGAAAGTTAAGCTTTAAAAAAATGTTATTGTAAAATTAAAAAAAAAAAAAAATTCATTAAATATTTTAAAAAGGATTTAGTGATATTAAAATTTTTGCAAACCCTCATCTTGTTTTTTTTTGTACACACACTTAAATCGCAGGATATTAATTTTCATATATTAATAAATTGTTTTATAATTTAATAAAATAATTATTTTATTATTGAAATAACTAATCATTATTTATTTTATCATATGTTATATGTACACTTTTTATATAATATTTTTGGTTTTGTAGTATGGAACCGCAATATATTCTGGTTTTTGGGTTAGTCTTTTTATATTTGAATATATAGGAATTTTTGTGTTTTTTTTTCTGTTGATATTTAATCAGAATGTGGTCGCGTCATTGCTTTGTCATATTATTCAATAGACAGTAAAATAATTTGTAATGAGTTCATAATTAATTAATGTACATGCCGTTATTAAAAAGATAGCCACAAAAAAAAATATAAATAAATTTCAAAAAAAAAATCGAGAAAAATTGGGAAAGCGAAAATGTTTGGGAATTTAGGAATGTAACGTAAGTACTGTTTTTGTGTTAAAATTATAAATATTTTCATTTTCTAGTATACTAAAATTATTGCTGTGGTCTGCAACATTTATCTGTACTAAATTTGAATCAAAGCCATTTCTCCATCGAAATTTGAGTAGCTATATTAACGATTGTTTTTATTGAAATTTTAGTCGATTCTCTATCTCTACACAAAATTCACACACTGTTGATATTATATAACAAATCACCATTAAAGTTTTCAGCACAAAATTTAGAAAGCACTTTTTGGCAAAATAGTATTCAAATTAGTTAGCAAAACTATATTGTTTTTACATTTTGAAATTTAAGATTAAAAATTACTGAATGTTCAGTCAAGTCAAAGATTGGAATGAGAATTAGGGTAAAATTTTTTTTTCTACTTATATAGAATTAAAAAGGTCCTTGAGACTAGTAATTTAGGCTTTATGAAATAGGAAAGATGGACTAAGAAAATATTCTGATGAATAGACAAACATAATTGAAGTAATAAATGGATTTTCTAAATATGATATGCTAAAATGCCAAAAATGTGCTAACATTGGTTGTCAACTCCCAAAAATTTGAAAATATTTTCCTATTTTCTTACAAATTCCATTTAAATTCACAAAATTTAATTTAATATTAACAAAAATATATAATTTTTATTTTATATTTCAGCTATTGTTGAAGAACCAGAATTTACTGAACATATTGAAAATGTTACAGTACCGGCTGGACGTAATGTTAAACTTGGGTGCTCTGTTAAAAATTTGGGATCATATAAGGTAAGTGTATAGTTTCTTATGTATTTATTTTATAGTTATTATTTCTTTTACAAAAAATTCAAGAATTTTTGATTTTGAAAATTTTAGTTTTTAATATCCTTAAACTTCATTTTATATTAAGTGGCCGTCTTTCAGAATATAATGCATTTTCACTGTAATTAAATTAGAATAATTTTCTTCTTCCTCTTGTATTAGGCGGATTAAACATTTACAGCTATATCTTTTATTGGTTTTGTGAGGTTGAGATCCAACATTTGTGCCACTTTTTGGACGGTCTTTATACTGGTTTTTTTTCCCATAAGGTTTACTGGTAATGGCAATTTTTGCATGTCGGTTGTTCTATTATATCGACGTGATCTATTCAAAGTTGCCGTCTGTCACGGGTCCAGCGAACGATGTCTTGAATGTTACATTTTTCTCTTACATCGATACAGCGTTTTTTGTCTCTTAGCGTGTACTCTCATATCTGCCTGAATGTTTTCATTTCGGTTGTTTGCAATAATTATTTCATTTGGGAGGTATTGACGGCATATGTCAATAAAGAACGTATGCATGTTTGTCACATGTATCTAATCTATTACTCCATATTATACATCATGTTAGTATTTCAATATTGCAGCATTTTTTCTGGCTTGTGCTGTTACTTTTTTATTCGAATCCCGAAAATGAATGAAATTTTTATTTTATTTGAGTCACTGGTCACTTCACCTCCCAAATTATTGAAGTTCATTATCTGTTCAATTATAGTGCCGTTTATCACAAACTTACAACGGAGTGGGCGTTTCGAGATGGTCATAGATTTTGTCTTCGATACTGAAATTTTCATATTGTAGTGTTCTGCAGTAGTTTTAACTGTGTATAACAGCCTCTGTAAATCATCTTCATTTTCAGCTAATAAGACAACTTCGTTTACGAAGCATACAATACTAATATCTTTGCTGCCCATCCTCTTCTACTGTTTAAACTACTTTCATAAAGAAATTTTAAATATTATGCGATATATAAACAATAACCATCATCTTTCTGGTCTTAATTACTTACTTAACGTAATTATTACAAAGTATATAAAAATTTTCTATAATAAGACCCAAGAAATTATAAAAATCTTTTGATTAAAATTATTAAAATCAGTTTTGTAAGGATCTTTAAAATCAAAAATCCTAGGGTTTCTTATATGTACTATAATTAAATTGATGTTAAAAAGTGACTGAAATTTTTGGGTTTTCTTTCCTCCTTCATTTTTATTAAAATAAAAATTTCACTTTGCTTTCACTTTAAATTTTCATACTAAAAAAAAAAGGTGTCTTATAGCTTCTTGTTTCTTTTTCTTCTGTTTTATGGAACGAAATTTGATTATAATAAATAAAATGGATTAATCTTAATTTTATAGGGGTTAGACATGATTTCCTCTTTTTACCTTATATTTGACTTTATTCTAAATAGAATGGGAGTATAGGATCTCTTTTAAAAAGTGAAAATTACTTAATCTTTACTCCTTAAGATCATAAATTTGTTAAATGCTTGTCGTTTTTATTTCTTATTCTTAGTTTTTTTCTTATATATTATACCTTTTGTTTAGCTGCCTTTCAAGGCAATCCTTGACTTTAATCCTATTTGCAAAAAAAAAGTAAATTGTTAAGGTATTTTAAATATTTTTCAAAGAATGGCAGCAAAAAAAAAATCGTTTACTTTTAACATTAATTTTCAATTTTTGTTTTTATTTTGCTCAGTTGTGGGTTTGGTACTCGTATATGAAAAATTTAACAGTTTAAAATAACAAAGAAAATGTTGAGGAAAAGAAAAATAAAAAGAGAAGGAAAATGAAAAGGTTTTTTTTTAGCCACAAATGCCGTCAAAATATTTTGCAAATCGTTTTAACAATTACTTCACTTTGAATTCCCAAACCAATAATTTTTAAAAGATATTCTCACTTGGTTTATTTTTGTCAGTGTTACCAGTCAACTCAAATTTTCTCTTTAATTAAGCTTTTTTTTTTGCATTTTTTACCTCACTTAAGGGAAAAATTACAATAATTATCTTGACATATTTAAAATTTGAATGATTCACAACAGAAAATTGCCAAACACAAACAAAATTCACGTTGGCAACACTTTATTTTTACGAAAAATTGGACTATCTTTGGAATATTTTAATAAACTTCGATATTTAAATGATTTTCTTCCCCTCAATACCGTAATATAATAAGAATGTTTTTATGATGTATACGTATGTAGGTGGAAGTTGTGAGTGACGGGCAACAATCACAAACAAATCAAATAAATTATAATCCTGTTCCAAAGCAAGCACTGTACCAAAAACACAATCTGTCAAAATATTTTCTTTATCGGAACAATTAACTTTTTTTATTGAGCGCCTTCTTACTTCTCTTTCGGCACAGCCTTTTAAAAAATTATGTTTTTTGTGTCATAAGAAATGCCAACGTGTCTGTATAATGACATGCAATTATTAACTCGTCAGTCGTGTTTCCTCCTAAATTAAGAAAGGTTGGTAATCCACTTTAACCTTTAGTTACATCATATAAAGCCAAAATAATAACAATTTTACGGAAAACAATATCAAAACCAAAAAAAAATTTTTTTCTTTAATGTTTGACTTAATATTAATCAGACCTTTTTTTTTTTTCTTTTCATTGTTCTGGGCTCGGAAAAATTGGGGTTATTTTTGGATTCCTTAAAGAAAACATTTAAAAATTTTCTTAATATTTATGTGAACATTCAACTTAAATGAAGAGTGAGCATAATATGATATTAAACAAGACACTCACTCATCATATACATCCCAAACCTTTACATACTCATATTATCATCCAAACCCTCTTACATACTCATATTATCATCTATACAAAACAATGAAAATAATTTGATAAAAATTGTGATATTTATGCGAACATATGAGAGCAAGTTACGAGGGTATATGCGATATATATACAGAAGATGTACGGATATTATTGAGACCTTGAAGCATTATTTCTATAATTTTTATAGTAATGTACAAGTATATTACATATCTGTATCTAAAAGGAGAAAAAAAAAGCAATATGATATGAAAATGTAGTGGAAAATTCCCTAGAGAAAAATTTACGTCATTTTTACAGTATCTTGGTTTGGATGATATGTGGAAAAAAAAAACATTCATACATATTCACACATACTCCAAGTACAGTAAATGAAATTATTTCCCTCATTTTTTTTTTGTTTCCAAATTTTAAAGATGTGAAAAGCATTTTTTATGAATTGTTTTTTTTTCCCCCTTTTGTGGAATTTCAAGAATTTTCTACTAAGTGTTTGAATTGAATTCTGACACTGCAATGTGTAAAGAATAAAAGTAATAACAAAATAAGTAATTCTTCTTAAAGTTAAAAAAAAAAATCCAAAAAAAAATCATTAAGGAAGTCTAGAATTTTTAAGGTTTTTAAAGATTAGATTATTTTTATTTAATAGACAAAAATTGGAGTTGTTTAAATTTAAAGGCAATAATAGGAAAGGCTCGTGATAAATAAAATAAGGATTGAGATTTCCTGAGTTGACTTGAAAAAATATAAAATTTAAATGGGAATCAAAATTTCACATCAATTTATTTCAATAAGGCTAGACATATTACAAGGTTTCTAAAAAGCAGTAAGGCATAGTTGTATTAAGCGACCAAATGCTGTTGGTCGCCTGAATGTTATTACATTTATAAAAATTCAAAACTATTATTTATTTCAATTTGGTTTTTGCAAAGCAATTGCTTAATTATTTAAAAATATTAAATAAAATAAACAATAGGTATACTAGGTGCATTGCTTGATCAAAAACAAAAAGATCACGAATGATATATGTTTGTTGCATTTAATTAATTAGTTTATCTAATAACAATGTTAATTTATTAAAAGTTGTTAAGTTGAAGTGTTGAAAACAAACACTTGAATAATAAGTTCAAGCTCACTTTTAGAGCTAAACATATCCGAAACAAAAACCGTACCGAAAATATCATGCGAACAGAGTTTTGCAAATAGCTACAGTCAGGTTATAGTTACTTAAATATGGAAACTTAATGATAAAGAAAACTGAACACAGATTCTATGAGTTCCATTGTATTACAAGAACCCAAAATAATAAAGTCTTTCATAGTCTTTTCTAAATTACTCTAAAATAGACTCATCGGACCTATAAAGAATTCCATTTTGGTTATATAAAATCGTAATTCTAAAATTTTTTGTAATATAAAAAATTTAAGTACATTTTTTTTCAAGAGCCACAATTTTAGAGTTAAAAAAAATGTTCCTTGTAAATGTTCAAAATAAAAACTTCTAAATAAAATTTTTAAAAATATTTTTTTTTTTTTTTTTTTTTTGGAAATTTAGTATTAAAAATTACTTTAAAAATGCTTTTGTACTTTAAAATAATTGTCTGTAAAACCAAACTTTAGATCCCATGACAATTCTATTCTATTCTATTCTTATACTCTTACATATAAAATATATGTAAGAGCATAAGAATAGAAGAATACTTTCATTTAAAAAAAAAAACGAATTCGAAGGTAACATTGAAATAATTTCTATTGAAAAGGATATTTATTGTACAACTATTAAAATAAATAAAATCAATTTAACTGGTGGTTGGTACTAGTAATAAACCACACAAAAAACATCCTTTTCATCCTTTTTTTTATTGTTTTTTTTCTATTTTTAACAATTTAAATCTCTTGAGAGAGAGAGAAAATTTTGAAATTTTTATTTTATTTTCAACTCCAAATATAAATTGAAAAAAAAATAATGGTAAATTTAAAAAAAATTTTTAGTTGTTCAGACTCAACTATGGGTTGATTTCAATATCTTTTAAGAGAAATCAAAAATTTCGGATTAGAAGTATTAAAGTTATTGAACGAAATCCTTAAAATTTTACTAACAATATGAATACTTAATTTATGAGCTTCATTTTTTGGAATTTAAACAATTCAAATTGCTTTTATATTGTGATTTTGCATAGTAATTGTCT